TGTGTGTATCATTTACCGAGCTGCCGCTCGAGGGGCCCTTTATTGTGTTGTGTGGCTGTGGTTCGGCTCATGTCATCCCGGCAATTACCTGTTCTCGTTTCTCAAACGGTCCAATAAGCAATCAGCGGGGTTCTTTGAACCGGGAACACGCGTGATTGATCGTTTCATCGACTCCAGCCGTCGAGATGGGATCGCCCGAGGTTCCAGCAACATATGATCATTGCTGTGTTGTGCGGCTTTGTTATCACACAATCGAAGTACGTTGTGATTTTTATCATTCAATAGTACTCAAAGCATAGTTTGGCATAACTCATTGGAAATGCCTTCAACTTTTTGACATTGATAGTGTTCGGATGACTGGCCTATCGTCCCACGTCCCAGTGAGCATTGTCGGTAATGAAAATGTGTTTTCTGATGAAAAACATTGAATTAGATGTAGATGCAAAACAGATTCAAATTAGCTTATTTACTATTGAGCGCAGAATCCGCGCTCATACCGGGACCGAAGCGGGGCAGGCCTGGTGTGTCAGAGAGTGTACCGATTAGTGCGATGCGAAACAGTATCCCATCTAGTCGGCTGCTGTTTGGTGAACTTGGGTCAGCCGCCGCACGGAAGGCATAACCAGCCCGATAATTGCTCAAAGCCCGCCGGTGCACACAGGGAGTTTTGAGGGCCACTGGATGACATGACCCATACGACTGTTTCCATACCGAGTGGGGAGGGAGGCCGGAGAAGGTGAGCGATTCATGCGGTCGTAGCCCGCGTGGAGTTGGTGCGGCAGTGTGTATATTGGGATTACCTATTTCTCGGAATTCAAAGCGAAGTTTTGGGGTTTGTTTGAAGATAGCCAATACCCATTGTCTTTTTCATCGGTAATGTTTTGTGGTTTCATCGTCATTGAACAATATTGCCATATTGCCGCCAACCTTTGCTGGCTAGCCGCTTTACTTCAAACCAGCTCCTAGTTTATTTCTTTTCGTTCCCCTTTCATTTTTCTCATCTCCTCTCATCTCATCTTCCTTTATCCTCCTCTCTCCTCTCCTTTCCCCCTCTTCTCTTCTCTCGTCTTCCTCCTTTGTCCTCTTTTCCCCTCTCCTCTCCCCCTCCCGTCCTTTGTCCTCCCGCCGGTGACACCGCTCACGCCGGGTCCACAGCCGGTAGGTACATACTGTGGGCCATGAATATTGTATATCGATTGATGTGGTGTGACGCCATCCAAGGTGTCTCCCCAGGGCTGGGGTCCCGGAGAGGTCCCGATATAACCGGGGAGGCCGCTGCGACACCTTCCTGAATAGTTGCGTGGGTGTGGTGGGAGTCGAGCGGTTGGGTAGTGGTGGATGTCATGGTTGAGCGATTAGTCTCATCTTCGTGTAGTGCTTTAAATATCATATTGATTATTTATCCCTTCATGAATTTAAGGCGGTTGGATGCTGTAAGGTGCTGTAAAGGTCGACATAATAAAGGATGCAATCAATGTGGCCATTGGTCATTGATTGGCACTTTGCCGTCGCTCAGTCTCACTGACCATGTGTTAGTTGCTTTTCATGTGTTTCATGCTTGATAGCAGTGTTGAGGAGACGTATTCGGCATGTTGGCTGAAGAGTGGATTTTCCACATTTTCGCCGTTCCTTGATCGGGTCTGTTTAGTATGTAAACTGCCCACTTAGTACTATCTCGTCAAATATCCCTGGAGATGAACTTGAAACTATTCGCTAGAAGGCCGACGCGCGTGCCACCGAGGGAGGAAGGTGTATTTTAATCCAGCGGGACGCACTTGAGAAGACATCTAGTCGAAGGAAGTGATGTTTTTATGCTCGCACACTTTCCGCCAATATCGTAAGTGGGCCGCTCGTCAGGCAGGCAGAGGCAGCTGGCGCGCACCGTGCGCCGGTGGGGACGCTGAGTCCATTAGCACCCGAATGGTGCCGCTCCGCGCCCTTTGTCACCGCTCGCCGTTCGTTCTCCCGTCGTCGTGATTCGCTCTTTCGTCGTTGGTCTCGCTGCGCTCGTCGCTCTTACTTGGTGATTGCCCGGTTCTGGATCAGAAGTCGCCCGGTCTTGGGCAAAAATCGTGTGACTGTTTTTTTCCGAAAAGCTTTCTGGACAAAAAAGATGCTCAGATCTGTGACAAAGATTTTTTTTCGGCTCAATTACAGACCTACGAGTATACCGCTCGGTACTGGGGCGGAAGCTGCCCTGCGTGGGACAGAGACCTCTCGGTACTGGGATAGAGCTCGGCTGGGCACTGGGCAGGGGCCCTTCAGTTCTGGGACAGAGTGCTGGACGGACAGAGCGGGCTCTCACTGCTCGGGGACGGGGCCCGGCTGACGGCCGTTCAAGTGTGCCCGGGGCACGGAGGTCAAGCGGCCAGCCGTCGGAGCCCATCACCGCCGCTGAATGACCCGGGCGGAGACGGTAGTCGAGACGTCTCTATTCCCGGGGCGCTGATGAAAAGGTCGCTCCGATGTCTCCTCTTGGTGATAGTGAGGGCTGAGCTAAAGGATGCAGTCTTGTTATCCAGCACGGCCTCACCAGTGCATCGACAGTCGTCTGTCTGACAGTCTCCTTGGCCGTCCTGGTGATCGAATTACCGAAAGGTCTCGCGGATCGGCTAGTGATTCCAAAGTTCCTGGAGATGAGGCCCAGACAGGCTGGATTCGACGCGTCACCAATGACAGATTAACATTTCACGGAGAGACGGAGTTTTCCGGCGGTCTGCCGGTTTCGGCGACAGTTCGCTCTAATTACGTTTCTAGTTCGGACAGGCGAGCAGGCCGAGTGAGAAGTCTCGTCAGGGTGTAATTTATCTGTCTGCGAGCCGCCGAATGGCTCGGATATGCCACAGACAGGTCTTTGATACAGAGTCACATTGGGGAGAATATCTGGAGAGGCGGTGTCGCGCAGCAATACTTTCAGACAAGTTTTATTGGATTTCACCACGCGGGAATCTTGGTGGGTCTGAACTTGACACGAATAGCTCTATCGGACAGTGATATAAATTTTGATGAACGAAAGTTTTATGACATGCCTGAGGGCTCTTATTACATGCAAAACGTTCTTTGTTTCCATTCCCGGCCACTCTGTGCGTCTCTGGATGCTGATTGCTCCCTCCCACGAGTCACGACGTTCCTTCATGTTTCACACTGACTCCTTGTTGCCAATTAGGTGATGCCACACATCCGTCTGTTTTTAGTCCGTCCACTCAAATATGGCCCACTCAGTTGGTGAATATGTCATTCGGAACCTAATTTAGGAACCGTAGCTCTATTGGCGGCCATGTCTCTCGGTGCCTAATTCAAGAACTGTGGCTCAATTGGTGGCGCTCTCACTACATATCTAATTCGGGAACCGTGTGCTCGTGACGCCCAGTTTCCGTCTGACCCGGTGGGCGTGTTTATTTCTGCCCGGAGCGCCGCCCCCGGGCCCCGGCCGTACCGGACGCTCTGGTGTCACCCCTGTGCCGCCGCATCAGCGTGCTGCCGCCCCGGAGATGTCCTCTGGTCATGCCATCATGGAGCCGACTGGAAACACCGGTCTCTGTGCGCCAACGACGGGTTTTGATGTGTGAAGTCTGCCCAGTTCACTCTCAGTCTTGAACCACTTACATAAAGTGCATGCATATCAGCACTGTTGCGAAGTGCACTGAGGCAGTGTCGCTCGTTTGAAACTGAGAGGTGCCTAAAGGCTGAAACAGACTCTTTCCGCGTTCAGGAAATCGCATGCGAGAGCCTATTCAAATACATTATAATTCTTCTTGCATCAATCGCTTGCGGGAGGTGCGTGCGATTGATGCGAGCGTGCTTCCATGTATTTGAATAGGCTCTCGCATGCGATTTCCTGACTGCGGAAAGAGTCTGTTTCAGGCTTAACTCATGTGTTAAGCTTGTCATGAACAGTGAACTTTATGACAATAAAGCAGCTTTACAGCTTAATAGCAGAAGTTCTCTATCGGGTGGTAGCGATGACAGGCCGTCGGGTTCTGAAGCGGAAGTCGTTAACAGTGTTAATAAACATATCGTGCTCTTTCGCCTTTCACTGGAAGGTTCGTGTTCGTATGTTGTTGTTATGTTATTTACTTCCTCTATGCTTGAAGTTGTCAATGTGTTTCCCTTATGAATGGAAATTGAGCATATATCGTCTGATTTTTTATTATTATTTCGTTATATGTTGTTTGATCGTTTCTAGTCTGCTGCATTGAAGTAGCTCTCAGGTACTCCAAAGAATCGCTCAACTTTCGGTACTCTCGTTCGACGTCCCAACTAATCACATTGTGGATCGGGTATTAACGTTTTGCATCGTGCGGTGACGACCTGGTAGCAACCAACTTACGGAAAAGTTATTAATTACGCTTGTGTGGCTTCGCTGGAGCGAGGGAATACTTTTCGTCATTGCTCGATCGAAGGACCGAAGCAATGTTGCCAGAAGTTTAACCTCCTCTCCCCACCCCATCCCTCTGTTTCCGCTATGGGAGTTGACGCGGCGTTTGATCTCCGCCCCGTGTGGAGGCAAGGAGCCCTTCAGAGCCCATTTCGCTCCTTCTCTCCCCGTATACCCTGTGCACTGTGCTGGGACCCTACTAGTTCCTCGCTCCCACTTCTTGTAGGACGTCGGCGGTCGGAGCTCCCTCTGCCTCTGACGTGCAGGGTCCCAACTGAGTCCCTTCTCTCACTCAGTGCCGATATCTCACTGTGCGACGTGCGCCGACCCTTCTCTGACTCCGTGCAGGTATCTCAGTAAGTCCCAGCCCCTCGCTCTCCGTGCAGGCATCTCACTGAACCTCTCTGTAAGAACATAGCTGAGCTCCGGTTCCTCTCATTCTGCATTGGAATCTACTGAGCCCCGACCACTCGCACTACGTGCAGGTATCTCACTGATCCCCGGCCCCTCTCACCCCTGTGTAAGAACCCACTGAGCGTTTCCTCTCACAACCTGTAAGTATCTCACCAAGCCCCAATCCCTCTCACTCACTGATTCACGTCCCCCTTCTCACTCGCTGCAGGGACCTGATGGTGGAGCTGGCGCCCTATATCCGCGAGGCCGTGGATAGGAAACAGGAGAACATGCGCCGCAGGAGGCGGCGAGACACACTCCGCCAGCAGCTGGTCAAGGTGTTTGAGCGCATCGCCGACCAGGGAACGTTCGGACGCAGGTGAGCCGCCGAGAGAGGGAGGGAGGGAGGGAGGGAAGGAGGGAGGGAGGGAGGGAAGGAGGGAGAGAGGGAGGGGGAGGTAGGGAGGAGGGGGAGGTAGGGAGGGAGAGAGGGAAGGGAAGGGAGGCTGCGAAGGATATGCTATTTGAGACGCATACGAAGGGGAAACTCGAGGGGCTATCGGACAAGATATGACGCCAATCTATTACACTATGTTTACGGACAAGGACCACGTCCTTCTGTACTTCCCCCAGCAGCGAAGCGCCTCGTAGCGTTGATGCATTCACTGCGTCGTTTTTACTGCTCCTGTTATGGATCGTTAGGTGGCAGAACGTCGCTATCTTTCTGATCAGTCGCTGACCGGCAGTACATGCATTATTCAGGCGTACGGCTTTCTGTACAGATATTCATGCCAGCAGTTCCCAAAGTCAGGCGACCCTTACACCGGGCCTGCCATAGTTGGTTTTGTGTACCGTATAAAGAGTTCGGTCTACATTTTTGCTTCCACGGCCAATGGCACTCGACAATGATAACCATTCGTTTTTTTCGATAGCTGTGGCTGCTTAATTACGAGAATAGGCTGTAGTCGGTGATTGTACTCGGTACATCTCATCATATTTTCCCGCTGCCTGGTACAATTGGCTATCCGGTGTTTGATAACGATTGGAAATAGCTCAACGTATGATATCAGTGGTGTGGCTTCTATTTGCGGTCGCATGTGAGCTGTTAGTACATTAACGACCAATTTCATGATAATTTGCTTAATTTGGCGAGCTCGGCCTTAACGAGGGAGAGCAAATTAGTAGCTATAATAATTAAGCGATTAAAAGCACTCAGTTCTTGATTCCAACAAAGACGTTTGGAGCCCTTTCTTACATAAGGAAGGTGGTCAGTGGTCACCTAAGCGAGATATTCTAACATTTATCGATGTCTTAATGCCACACCACACATCTTATTGCTTCAACATCGTTTTGTCAAAAGTCTCCACCCTTTGGCACCTAGGCGCATGCCATTACGCATCCATGCATACACATTATGCAGTCCCTAGCTCAATTGTTATTGAAAGAATGTCTCGTGCTTTTAACTCTCATCTCATTTGACGTCCTAATTTTATCACTACCACAATCGAGCTGTCTGGGGAACACCCAGTAAACATCATGTAAAAACTATCTGAGCATCGGCTCTCATCGGTTCTCATCTCACTAGTGTCGGTCGTGATACACAATGTCGAGAGGACAATAACTTGAATGGACGGCGACGGCCATCGACTGGTCCCAATCAATGTTCGCTCGACGGTCTACAATGGAGCCGACTGTGCCCAACCCTACGGTATGTATGTGTGGGGATGTAGGGTGTTTGTGTGTATGTGTGGCTAAGTTTTAAAGGCTTTCTAGGCTAAGTTTAGTATTGAAGATAGTAAGCATTCGGGTATTTCTCTACGCAATTTATTTGACTTGAATCAAAACCGTTCTTTTGAATGCAACCCTGAAAGCATATGAAAACAATCCGGCAAGCTTCGAGATATGCATAATGAACGACTTTTTGTTTCTAATCCGTATGGATCACATTTGTTAACCGAGACGCTCAGATATAAGCACTGCAACTAGCACGCAATCGTCGATTTAAGCGGCGTCCAATTTCATTAGAACTTACTGCTTTGTTTTCGCAGCCAAACACATCCGCACATTCGGCTGAAATACGGCTCTCGCTGGGCCGATACGCGCTGGTTGTTTACCAAGATAGGGAGTCTTTGTTTCATATTTGGCTTTGTCAGGATTCAAATGATAATGAAGCGCCGAGCTGCTATTGTCTGGATTTTGGTTAATTGTCTCTTTTTGTATTAATGTTTGCCAGTGCTCTGGCGAGGAATATGATTGACACGATTATATGAAAGAAAAACATTGACCTTAGTCCTTCTTCCTTGAATATATAGCAAAATTTATGCCAAGTTACTTTTTATTTACGTGATATTTCGGCCAACAGACCATAATCAAACGAAAGAAAGAACAATGTAGAAGACTGTTAATGAGTATAAGTTGGTTGGTGACATGTAGCCTCATGTTTATTCCGTAAGTTCTGAGCCCGCCCTGCTCGCCGATTAAGATATCGTTATTTGTTTGAAGCGGTCTTCGACTGTTTTTTCCTATCACTTGATACCGGCGATGCAATCGTCCAACTCTGAGAATTTTGTAAAAATGTGTGTGGCAATAAAATAACGTCTGTTTGAAACCATGATACGGCCTCGACTTCGTGTGCGACAATGATTCCACGTTACTCAACATTGCATTGAAAATTACTTTGACGCAGCTCATCGAAAACCTATGATTCCCCCTCCGTCCCTCCTATCTCTCTCTCTCTCTCTCTCTGTCTCTCTCTGTCTCTGTCTCTGTCTCTCTCTCTCTTTCTCTCTCTCTCTCTCTCTCTCTCTCTCTCTCTCTCTCTCTCTCTCTCTCTCTCTCTCTCTCTCTCTCTCTCTCTCTCTCTCTCTCTCTCTCTCTCCCTCTCTCCCTCTCCCTCTCCCTCTCCCTCCCTCCCTCCCCCGTCTCTCTCTCTCTCTCTCTCTCTCTCTCTCTCTCTCTCTCTCTCTCTCTCTCTCTCTCTCTCTCTCTCTCTCTCTCTCTCTCTCTCCGTATTCTGCATCCATTACCGTTGCCAATCTGGCCCTCCCACCTGTTGAGACCAATGCCGTGTCGCCCGCGGCTCCCCGGTCGACCCATTGTGCGCCCCATTGATACACCCGCGACGGGGGTCCAAAGCCAACCCGACCCGGCCCGGCCCGGTCGGACGGGGGTCGGGATGCGGGCGCGGCCTGTGCAGTGACGGTGAAATAGCCCGTGGGCGCGGCCGGTGCGGCTCACCACACATTGGGATAGATGGCAGAGAATGGCGATGGAAGACGTAGGCCGATGAATGGGAGAGTGATGTTGCCGGAATGGAGATGGTGGGTGGAAAACAGCCGGCCTGCTGCCACCGATCCGACTGTTTTCTGATGGACGGAAGAACGGGCGAGTGCTTACGCATTTCTTCGCTTTTCTGCAAAGGAAAGTTTATTATGCTGGCTCAGTTTTATAACGATCAATGCTTCTGGAACGATTCAGGATTTGTACGGTGATCATCCGAACGGCTTACTCTCTATTTCTCTTTCTCCCTCTTTGTCTCTTTTCCGCCCCCTCCTCCCCCACATCACGTCATCCTTCCCATCTCCTTCTGTTCCTACCCTCTTGTCTTTCTCTCATATCTTTGTGTTGTCGTTTCCCTCTTTCTCTCTTGCCATCTACATAACTCTTGCCATTATCTGTGCCGAAGACGGCACAGATAGCCGTGTTCAGTCTTCAGACTGGGCGAGGCTGAGCGGATACATACGGTCTGAGATGCAGGGAGTCTGAAAAAATATGTCAGATTGAGTGAGGACAGACAGTTTGAACTGAGCCAGCCATCCGCCACCGTCCGCCGTCTCTGCGCCGATAGAACCGTTTCGCTGTCAGCTCTTGTGCTGAGTGGGGTTCTCTAGAGAGTGGTCAGCCTCCTCACTGGATGGACAAACGGCGTCCGTCGGGCGGTCCCTCTCCCCTCCTCTCCTCTCCCTTTTCCTCCCCTCTCTCCCACACTTGTCTGGAGAATGACCCGGTGGTGACAGACGGCCGGTGTGAAACGGTCGACCGGCTGAGATCCGAGAATCCGCTCAAACTCGATTGTAATATCGGCTCTTCGTTCCTGGAGTTGTTGGAAGAATTCTGGGCCACATTCGGAGCTTGGGTAACGTTTCTGGGTCGTGCGGCCCGCGTTATATTGGTTTCGTTTTAAGTTTAGCTGATCGGCGGAGACGAATTGAATTGTTGCCGCCGAAAGAATTGGATTTCCAGGGGGACAGGTGCCGCCACGTTATCACTGTCGTTTAGATTACGATCAGTCGTTTTCGAAAAACCCGGTAGACGACATATGTTTATAGATGTCTTTTTTAGTTCTTCGTGTATATTTGTCGCATATGAGCTTCAACTGGGAGCTCAGTTACGCGAAATGGTTTCGTTGTGTGACTCCTTAGGAACACATTTAGCGTTGAATTGAGACCTGTCATAACAAACTTTTTATTTCTTAATGCGTCAACGATTATCTTCCATTAATTTGTGTTTGTTATAGTGGAACGCCGACTTTACACAGGACATCGCTCGAACCAGAGCTCGAGCCACCGTCGCAAACAGCATTCGTTTCAAGGTTCACTAATTAGGTATTGTGGATGTAAAAATGAACTTGTCTAGGCCAGTACCTGCCTTTGTCACAAGGCTCACTCTGTAAAAATGACCACCGTCGTCTAAAAATTCTAAGAGAAACGCATTTCTCCAGTTGAGATATTCTTTTTGTGTATAGTGTAATAGTATATTCTGTGTGATGGGGAGTGCACACGGACCTCAGGTTGTACCCCAATTGCATGTCGTATTTACACGAGATTTTCACGTTCATTGGGCCAATTACTACGATAAAAATTAAGCATGATTCAGCTATACTGCTATAGGTCACTTTTCAATACACGGTTGGTAGTTATTCTGCTTACTCAACTTTTCTTCTCTTGGATTTTCGCTGTGTTTAAAACTGGCAAAATAAGCCCATGCCTGTGCTAAATTTTGTATCTCATAAATCATTTTACGGCAACTGATTTTGATTGACATTCATGAAATTGAGTAATTTATTTGGGCTTACCGTGTCAGTCTGGGGTTTCACGGTCGCATTGCTCTGCGTTTCGAGAAACGATTTAGCCTCACCATCTTGCTGATGAGCCGATTTAGATGCCCAATCAATTGCGTCTCGGTCACGATTGTGCGTCTTATTGTGGTAAATTGTATCCCGTATCGAAATGGGTAAGTCTTTTCGAAAGCTTCTGCCATGATTCTTGTGAAACGACAGAGGTTCCGCCGTGCTGATATTATCACGTCGGATTCATCTCACCCGGACGTCACGCCAAAATTATTGGGCAGCTATCAGCGCGATCGGCTCCTGACAATTATTAACAAACAGGCGTGCATCTGCTCGCCTTCCACTCCGCCGCCGTCCGGCCCGAGTCGCGTCTGCCCCTGCCCGGGCCGATCGGAACTGGAAGCGGGTCCTGTTCCTAACAGCCCCCCTGTCACAGCCGAACGGCGCACAAACACATTGGAACAAAGCGGCGCAATTAGACAACTTTGCCACTTTATGGCAAGTTGCTCGGGTGCTCCGCGCTACCGCTTTGTTTTCTACACGGTTGCCAGGTGGTGCAGACTGGGAGGCTTGTATCGCGATAAGTGCTGTTGGGAAGAGGTGTAGAAGTTCTCACGACCGCTATCGTTATGTCGGTTTGATTCTTCCGGGAGCATATGTGCATTGCCATTGCTGACACAACATTTACGCTAGTATTAACAAATTATAAAGAATTTCAACAAGGATATAAGTCATTGTGGACAATATTCAGATGACCTTCTACATGTTGCTGGAGGATGAAAGCATACATAGCGAAAGGCCGCCCCACACTGGACCTCGCATGCGGGTTGCGAGTTTGCGGGTTTTGAGTTTGTGGGCATAATACTAATTCATGGAATGATTACACCGTTCCGTTATGGTCACTCCATGAATGCAGTGAAGCCGATACCTTCAGAAAATTACATAATGTCGCAATACCAGCACAACGAACCAAAATTAGACTCCAACGAAAAACTCGCAGACCTCGCAGAACTCGCAGACCTCGCAGTGAGGAAAATCAAAAGTTGACTTAAAACCAACTTTTGGAATACGATGCAAGGTAGCTCGCAAGCTAAAAACATGCAGCCTCGCCTGTTATGGTAGTGTGGGTCACTCGGCGTAGATTGCATAACTTAATTTTGAAGAAACCCGAAAACCCAAAACCCGCAACCCGCATGCGAGGTCCAGTGTGGGGCGGCCTAAGGCTTCGTTGAAAAGAGTGAACGTTCGTGCCCAGCATTTCACACTACCACAGCTTCCGTAACCAGGAATCCGACCAACTGTCAATAGCTTCAGCTGTTTCGATGTTGTTGCGATCGTTTGTTGCTACAAGAGCTTATGTTTTTGTAAGTAGAAATAATGCCCCTATCTCTTTTCTTCTTTTCTGTTAGTTCTTTTCAAATGTCGTAAATTCGCCCTCCGGTTTCAACTTCACCGGGTTTTTGTGAGCCGTCCACTGAGCGGCCGGCCGACCGCCGCTGCTGGGCCGAACTTAATGGCCGATATGCGACCGGCTGAGAGCCGGGCGCTGTTTACGTCCCGGCAAATTTTCCGAGCGTGTCGCCGAATCGCGGCGCTGGAGTGCGCGAGAAAGAGGACCGTCCGGCGGTGAAAAATGTCCTGTGGCACCAATCGGTGGCACGCAGCGCCAGCGAGGAGAGAAATATTGGGCGGACGCCGGCGTATGCACAGCCCTGGAGAGCATCGGCTCCGACGCGTCGATGACAGACTTCCCGGGCCGGCGGCGGTGCCGAAAAACAAGCTGAACCCTCTCGTCAGAGGAGAGCAGGATACTGTGTCCGATATTTTCGGGCGAGTGAAAGCCGGCGTAATGGTGGTTGTGGAATGCTTACGATAAAGTTGTATTTTGACCTTTTGCTCGAGCACATGCAATTTGTATAAAGCCTGCTCACAGGTGTAGCCAATATTACTTTACTAATAGGTGTAGCGATCTACTTAGGTGACTGGTAAAAAGGGAAGTTTTGTCCATATTGAAACAACCGGTATGATAATTTGATGAGTCTGTAGCATGTAGCTGCAACTGGAGAAAACACTTTACTCTACATTTTTTTTTTGCACGATGTTTTCTGTTATTTGTTTACCAGGGTTGTTTTCATAATCGCCGTGGTAGCAATGTTTCTTGATGCTATTTTTGTCAACAGATTTGCCGATGAGCAGCGGGACATAACTTCCAATTTTTGACGGCCCTATAAAAGTTAGCGGTGGTAGTTAAGGAAACTTGGCAAAGTGCTGCCAGAAAATTATTGACGTTTGATGTTTTTGCGTGCCGACTGCCGTATAGTCGTGGGCAGTACTATAATAGTCGTGCCTTGACGAGAGTTTTGGGCTCGGTAAAGCAGATGCATGAAGTTTGGATTCACTTGCCACAAGCACTCCTATAAAAATGTTATGCTCAACTTTTGACCAAGTTTTTTGCTTGCTTAAGAACGATTTCAAACAAAAAGGCGGAACAATTAATTCATCGCTTAATGCATGGTGGGCAGCAGTATATCTGGTGTGCGTTCCGTGATAGACGTCCAAAGTGTCCTCCATCAGTCAATGCCAGCGTAACAAGCTGAGCTTGCTCACAAGTCACAATGCAAGCGATGAATACGATGTTGAGAAACATCTAATTATTTCGCACAGGTGTCATATGAAGTGGATAACAAAGGCAATAAAAAAGCATCAGTGGTGGCAAGAGGCATATAGAGAAACGAGTATTTATGTGTCGCTTACCAATGGTTGGATAGTCGTGCGACAGGTGGCTTGGCGATTGTTAGTTTATGGTATTACCTGCTCTTTTCAACTTATAGCTACCGCATGCTGGTTAAATGTGTCCGTCTCCTTCATTGAAATCGGTAGCTATATGTACTACGGCAAACTAAGAAGGCCGATAACATAAACTAACAATCGCCAAGCCACCTGTCGCACGACTATCCAGCCATTGGCCAGCGACACATAAATACACGTTTCCCTATGTGCCTCTTGCCACCAATGATGTATTTTTATTGCCTTTGTTATCCACTTCATATCACACCTGTGCGAAATAATTGGATGTTTCTCAACATCGCTTGCATTGTGACTTGTGAGCAAGCTCAGCTTGTTACGCTGGCATTGACTGATGGAGGACACTTTGGACGTCTATCACGGATTTCGTGGTCTGGCCCTGGGTCATATGCGGGAAACAGCGTCGTATTCATGCGACCTTGGACTTTTACCACAAGGCACATTTGGCAAATCGATTTCTGGACGATTTATCCTAATGCTTATTTTGCTTTTAAGGTCTGTTGGTTTTTGTATGGTGGATGGTGATGCTACTTATCGCATTGCAGCGTTTGTGTTACGATGAAGCGATGAAGGCATCAAATAATCACACATCCAGCCAGACAATCTTACGTTTATTGTGATATCAGTGACCAATCATCAGCTGCCTACGCCTCAGCTATTTAACTATATGCTTCATTGATTTTTTTTGTGATCGCCATCTTCCACTCATTTTTATATTGCGTACAGTTTGGGCTGTCCTTAGCTGAAGATCGAACTCCAGACATCTGCTGTGTTTAAAAGTGTTCATTCTCAGTTCTCTTCTCACTTGTGTGCAGCTTGTGATATTTTGGAAGTCCTTTAGTGATCACTTTCCGGAAGAATGAAACTTACTTATACACATGTCAGTTTATCATATTAAACCCCAACTAACGATCTGCTTTGCACTTCGCAGAATGACCGGGCTCGATCTCAACCTAGCTTTCTTATACCTGCTTCATCTAGAGCTGCTGATCGTATAATGAGCGCGTACCTAATGGCACCGCTATTTATGTGCCGTAGCCTCAACAACCAAACATCTGGAGCTAACCGGGACCGATTCTCCTCCGCAGTCCGTCTATCATCGATACCGACTCGCAGACGCTCTATCCGACGTTCGTGGAGTACATCGACGGCGCCAGGCTCTACCTGGAGGTCGAGGGGGACAAGACCACCGACACGGCCATCAACCAGATCAAACTGTTCTTCTGCAACTTCATCCGCAAACTCATCACCAGCTTCCCTCGTGAGTACCCGCGGGAGGAAACTTTTCATCGGTGATGGTTGATATGGGTAGGTTGATGGACTTGAAGCTGATGTAATCTGTAGATTTTCTGGCTGGAAAAAGTTGACACAGAGGTGCTCCATTTGACAGTTGGACGGTCTCCTTGCGGCCCAGTTCCCGCGGCGTCGAATTCAGCGCTCGTGTAGGTATACTGTGCCGCAGGACGCCGGTGTATTGCGGGACAGTCTATATGCCAGTGCCGCTCAGCGGCCGGCCGCGCCCGGATCGGCGGTATCGCGCTGTATGAAATTGAGACGAAGATTGCGTGAACGAAGCTGTTTGGTAATAGGGTGTAGCAACGTGCTATTTTTCACCGGTCCATCGTCACATCGTGATGGTGGAAAATTTATTGCCAATCTTGGTCACAAGGCTGTCTAGCTTTTTATGGAGTGAACGGAAATGCCTGCTGCACGCCCTGTCCAAAACGACGCTTTATGTCATTGCTCTGATGCATTTGTTTGACCGCCAACTAGCCGTTGAAGTTGAGACTGAGACTCCTTACGTAATCCCCATATTGCACAGTCAGGCTAGCCGCCATGCGACAATTCGGCGGCTCGGTTGCTGCTGCTGCCTCGTGTTCCCTGTCTCGTGTTCATTATCATATCAATTTCTTTCATTTTGAAACATTCTTTTATTTTCCGCTCCGTCGACACAATTTCAATTGGACTTTTGAACATTGTCCAAAAATAGTCGTATCGCTCAGTCTCTTATCTGTTGCAGCGCCGTTGAACTCAAATCCGAAGTCCATTTCTCATCATCGTAACATTCTGATCCACATTGGTGGTATAATGAACCTTGAAAGTTCTGCCAAGATTAGATGAGTACGGCGGCACTTGATTATTTCAGACCAAAAGCAATTTTATATTATATAATTTGTATTGATTGTGCGATACCAATTACCAGCTCCCCCAAACGATATGAACACATGCGAGGCCCTTTCGTTATGAAATGTGGTTTTGATGAGTGAAACAGTTGATTTCAATTTGCTAGAGGACATTTTCTTTAGGAATAATTATTATAGTATCTTCTAAGATATTCAGCGGTTGCTGAGCGGTAGCGCTGTAGCCTGTATAAACTGAGGGACTGCTCATTCCATGAAATCTAGGCAGCTGTCGCGTATCGGTAGGTTTGCTTAGTGCCTATACTTGGACTCAAGAACATGGCTTATGAGAGGGTCTCTTTTACCTCTCTTTGCCAGTCAGCAAAGTCAGAAACAGTCTTAAGAAATGGAATGTAGAGTGTAGATGCTACTTACACCCTGGTATTTATCGAGACATCATCAAATATCGCGGTGTAGTCTGCTCAGTTCAACTGGAGTATTTCAACCAGGAAGTAGGTACCTGAATGCGACCAATGAGATGCGATGTGGTTGGCCCAGCAGAGAAGCATAATTACTTTCGGCCCATAAAAAGTACAAGTTATCTATCCAAGACCGCCTCCAAACGTGGCATTTGGTCCCAATATTGGACAAGCACCAATAACCTAAGTGGTCTACCTGATTTCTTCGCTCGGCAAGAACTGTTCTCGATATAACTTTTGCTGCCGAAGTTTTATTGGCGGCCATCCGGCTGAGCGTTTTCAGCCAGCCAAGGTGTATCACTGGACGCGGGCAGCTCTAGTACATCATTGTGTCACGGCTCTTAGTGTCATCAGGGCCGATCTCGCCCCCGGTCGACACTCGACAGCGGGATGCTGTACCGGAAATGTGTCGCTTCCGGCCGCTGCCGGATTTCCGGCTCCATTTCTGTTGGTCCGTTTGGGCGGGGGGGGGGGCTTGCGGGGTCCCACTTGCGGGGTCCGTGTGACCCGGCCGGGTCAGCTGCTTGGACTGGGTCGGGGTGGGTAGACAGCTTGTATCCGGTGCCTTCCAGGCGGCGAGCTGAGATAAGTGAATGACTTTATGGTCACGCCAGAATGAATCTGGACAGACAGCACTGGGCTGATGGGCGAACGATTGCTTTAAAACATAGGGGGGGGGGGGAGACAGTCTGTTTTGTGTGTGGGCTGGATCTCGCCGTTTTATGTGAGATCTGCAATTACCGCAGTGGGTGAGACGGACCATGTTAGTTACGAACAGACTCAGTTATAGTTATGAACGGGAATCGCTCCAACTTTGGAAATACGACCGCTTAGCGATTGAATTTTGAGCCGTAACGGCAAATGTATTTTGCGAAATGTCATACAGTGCAATATACCTATCCGTCCCCTTAGACACACTGCTTCATAAGGCAAAAGTGATGAGTTCCAAGTCGCCGCCGATACCAGCTGCGGGCTTGAGGAACATAATACGACCGTGGGCCGGATCCGGTCCGAGGATTCGAATTGGCTCTACCCCGCTATAAAAGCATTGAGGAACGATGTAATGAAATACGCTTGGATTATTAAGATCCGGCTATATATATATATATATATATATATATATATATATATATATATATATATATATATATATATATATATATATATATATATATATATATATATATATATATATATATATATATATATATATATATATATATATATATATATATATATATATATATATATATATATATATATATATATATATATATATATATATATATATATATATATATATATATATATATATATATATATATATATATATGTATGTACTGTACCCTTCAGTAGACCCTAGAGCCAAACCTGTTCGCGCGTTGTTTGGTGGCGGGCGGAGGCAGAGCCGTGTACACCGGCGTCAATCTACTTCATGTTTACTAACGTCACGCTACTTATTCGTGTGGTTTGGAGAGATGGAGAGATGGAGAGATTTGGAGAGATGGAGAGATTGGAGAGACTCCTACGTGTTTCTCCGGTATTAGGGCAATCAGAACCTTTCGCATAGTCCTAAACCTTTAACGAATCTCCGGTGTCTTGATGCCTATTGTCTGGGTTGTAAGACACGTTTCCAGGTCAGTCAGAGCTGTTCTGCAACTTTTTGATCCCTGCTAAAACGCCCTTTGCCTCGGTGACAGCTGACAGTTATCCAGGCTCAGTCGCTGACCCTGGTGCGAGGTAGATAGCGCCAGGCACGTGACAGCCACGTGAAGGGCACCTGGAGCACGTGACACGCTCGCCGGCCATTCGGATGGCTACTCGGAATAGCCGGCCCAACGACGAAGAACGTCGGCGCGCGGCCCGGGGGAAGCTCTGAGCGCCGGACGACCTGCTCGCAGCGGATTATGAAGCACCCAGTAAATTGTTTCCGACGTCTTTTAACTGGTTTGTGTCTAGGGCAAGTATTTGATTGTTTATATGATGCTATTCTCTTCGTGAGGTCGGTAGGAGATCTTGGGAGTGAACATTGAACAGCCTGGTTATGGGAAGATGTGCAATTCATTGTCCTTTGTTTCAACTTCTACAGACAACTAGACTGCTAATGACTGCCAAGTGCTAGACTAGGCAACTAGACAACAACTTGACTGCTAATACATCGAAAGACTTCCTGAAAGCCGATTTTTTTTTATGAAAATTTACATGCATGCTGGACGTTCTCCAGGTCCTTAATCGCGATTTATCCGGCGACCACCTGTAACAGCTGTTCCGCATTCATCTACCTACCACATACACCACAAAGCCAATGAGGCGAGTTAGAGAGCGCCTTTGACGGCGGCGGTTCACCGTCCCTATTTATCGTGCGGCTTCCGTAGACTATGAGCGAACCTTTCCCTCCTTTGACCCGCCGGAAAGGCGTTGTGATGCGCAGAGTCAAAAGGCGACATTTGCGCGTCGGTTCGGGTTAGATGGTTGGAATCGGGGCTTCCCTGGGTAAATGTGCCTGTCTTTACTAGTCACACCTTGCTTAGCTCGGCTTCACTGAGTGCATATTCAAGGGGGGAAACTGCCAGCGTCTTTTGGACGCTTTAGCTACTCTTTGACAAGCCTAAAGGGCCTCTGTGCCATTTATCTGACTTAGCCCGCTGCGACTATCCGTCACCTGAGGATACGCTTTCATGCTCAAAGGCTATTGAAGGTGTATTGTAATGGCGTTGCACGCTATTTTTGGTGACAAGTTCCATACAATAACGAAACTGCACTGCTTCGTTGGATTTTTTAGGAATATAGATGACATCTTTGAGAGCATGTTATTCACAACTTATATACCCCACGACGGCTATTTTAAAGCACTGGTTGTCGCAGCAGCAGCAAATCGTTGTCCATAAACGTTTTATGATTCTTTTTCGTTTTTTATATGGTCTGGGCTGAAACTTACTGCCGTCTGCACAGATATTGTCCTGCTATTTCACATGAACAACTTCCTTTTATGTTTGGTGGTGACTAGTATTACCCCATCGGACCCGGTTATTTCTTGAAGTCATGTAACTCTCATGCACAATGGACGGACGCCAGTCCCCAGCATAATGTCTGCAGTCCGGCGGCGTCCGTGGTAACTATCTCAAGGCGTTCTCGCCAAACCAACGTGTTAAAATGCAGCAAAACGTAATTACTGGGGAAACAGTGCAACACTGCTACAGACTGCGAACAATTTAGAATAATCACGATATCAGGATAATATACAAGTGGAAAAATAATCAAGGGTGTAATAAATATAAGATATTTTCAGTGTCCTTCAACGCTTTGATCACCGGCAGTTGACCTGCGTGTGTGACCTTTCACCTGTTCCTCCGACAGTTGACCTGCAGGTGTGACCTTTCACCGCTCCCTCCCACAGTGGACCTGCGGGTAACGCTGCTGAAGTGGGACCTGCAGAATGACCTTCCACCCCTCCGACAATGGACCTGCAGTGTGACCTTTCACCCCCTCCAGTTGACCTGCAGTGTGACATTTAACTCCCTCCCCACAGTGGACCTGCGTGTGACGCTGCTGAAGCGCGACCTGCGCCGTAACCTGGTAAACCTGTTCGCGCCCTGGAGCGGACCGTTCGGCCGACCGTTCCTCCCCAGACACGGAGACAGCAAGGAGGTGAGACGACATCCCTCTCATTCCCACGTAGATTTCGATTTTTTTTTGTGCCGAATGCCCTAACGCCGTACTCTGTCCTTTTTGGTTACATGCTGGAATTTCGTGGCCTCTGGTAAACCGGCCTTTTCTGAGCTATTGTGACTTCAAGGTACGGTTCTCCAGGGTATTAGTCGTAGGTCGCTCGGCGAGCGGGAGGGCAACCAGCTCCGCCACTGTATCGCGTGACCCCTTGCTCCGCCCAGTTACGCACGAGCGTACTCCACGCCGCGTAGTAGCGTGGGGAGGGGAGGGTTAGAATGGTGGCATGTGTAGAGGCTAGAACCGGTTTCCACCGCCATGCCACCGCCCAGCGACATGGAGCGGGGTCAGTGACCAGGGCGCAGGGAAAGGTCAGAGGTCAACTATAACGCAGAGCTTTGTGTCTCCCTCCCCTCCGCGTGTAACGACGCACGACAGCGGCCGGCCGCCGATCAGGCTTGACATGTCAAGGTCACCCGCAGTCAACGGGCTCAGAGGGTTGGTCGAGTGCGCGTCCGTGGCTGACGACAGTCTCGACCATGTGCTATGGTGCCGATAGACTAGCGTGGGTAATAAGTTTTTGTTCAGTGCATATGGCTGCTGGGGTGTGTCATCTTGATATATGATGCCTTGTAACGTGTATGATACGCTTAAAACCTCGCTGGCAGTGGCCGAGAGGAGAGGGGGGGGAGGGGCGGGGAGGCGGGTGCCGCCTCCACATGTTTATTTTTGTTGATAGCTGCGAAAGCTGAAATTTGGCAAGCCTGACCTTTGATTCAAGCTGAATTTTTATGACAGCAGCTGTATTTTCACCCTCGCCCATATTGGTGTTTTGCCAGCGTCTATCGTAAGGGGGGGGGGAGGAGGGTCCATTGGACCCCTTTGCCGTTCAGCCCTTGATCGAGCTAACGCTTCGCGGAAAAAGAGTTGTTGTTGCCCGTGACGAGAGGAGGCCGATGATACCCAATTTCAAGGTCCTAGGTCATTGGTTGACAGGTCAATATAACTCAAAAGTCGGGGAATCGGGACCTGTTAGAGCTTCGTAAAGTGAAGCTGTTATAGGGTTTTGCGGGGTGCTGATCACGAATTTCAAGTTAGTTTTGATCACAGATGATGTTTTCGTGCATCAGGTCACATGTTACGAGGGAACCAAAACTACTTCTTAAATGTTCAAACGGTTTCTAAATGCGAAATCAACTCCAAAATCTACCCTATGAAACATGTAGAACTCGAAAGAGTGAACAAAGGTCATCAAAGATCAGTGACCTGACTGACCTTCACGTGACCTTGATACCCACTAGAATCCATGCGAACAACATCCTTTCACATGTTTGATCGCTTAAAGCCACAAAAAGACAATAAAACGCGCTCTACGCGAAATACGCCAAAACGCGATTCCGGCCAAACATGGTTTCGGAAAACAAATCACAAGTCAAAGGTCTTTTGAGTCAGGGTCATATAAATTACAGGGTAGGCGTAATATTAATTAACTCGAGGGTACTGAAAGTGTCTTCGCAATCAGCCGCTTTTTGCGCGAGTTATTTGCGAAAAACTGAGGGTAGGAGGTATGTTCGACACCCTCCTACAAGTGCGAAGGTTAAGGTCAGGCCGTTGACCAATGACGTCAAAAGTGAACCTCTGTAAGGTCCCAAAATGTCGCGACGTCGCAGCACCCTTCGTGCCAGGGGACTTTTCAACGGGGAATGAAGCTTATATGATCTAGTACTATCTCACAGAGGCCTCACAACTTGTATGTAGCTATCTCGTATTTTTCTTAAGAGTGACCTGAAGTCAGGTCGGACACGCAACCTCACGATTATCAATCAGTTGGGAAATATGAGAGCTGTTACTTTGGCGCCAGGAGCCATCTAAAGCTGTCTCAAGCGCATTAATTCGCGATTTTATTCAATCTTTGCAAGCCCCAGCATTCACTTTTCCATTCTTAAAGTTAGGCGACTTCATTTATGACGTCACTAAGGTCACAGGAGTTTTCACCAAAAAGTCCCGATCAAATTGAGCTAGCGAGTCGGGAAGCCACCAGTGGACTTGTGAGGACCTACCGAATCGAAGAAGCTACATATATGACCTCCTTGGGCCAGCTTCGTGGCCTGAGTGGCTCTGCCCTGACCATGACCTGATGTGAACATGCCTTAAATTGACCTCAACGAAAACAAAGCGTATACTATTCGACGCGCTTGAAGTTGAGCATGCAAAACTCGATGGTGCCATAATGTTGGCTCTGTAACCACTTAAGTGGTGAAGTTTTTTTACCAAAAACCGATCCCGCGACTTTGAGCTGACCTCAGAGTTTATCGGTTGACCCGAGACATTCAAATCGGGTACCAGTTGCTGCATCTCATACGACGCACGCGCTCAGTTTTATCCGCAAGGCGCTAGCTCAATTAGGGACAAAAAGACGGAGAGGGGTCGCAATCACCCCCCCCCCTCGGCCGGGGTATACTCGTATGCAGAAAACCCAAAATTCCGTTGAGGGTTAAGCACTTAAGTGATATGATGCGAGAAGGATAGGTCAAAACAAGTATGCACACGAGCGGGTGTGAATAAAACTGTGTTCGAGGTATGCCTTTTTATTATACATTCGATTTGCTTTAGTTATTGGTAAGAACAGATACAACCAAGAAGAGCGCCCCTGAAGAAAAGGTGGCGCACCGGACAGGTGCGATTTTAAGGTCTAAGGTCAGTCGGGGACCTCTAAGTTCGCATCAAGCGCGGCATGTTAGGGGTAAAAATGGGGCAAAAAGCATCCCGATTTTGGCAGCATCGTCATGCTTTGTCATGGCACTGATCCACTCCCTCGGCCGAAATATTATTACCCTTTTGTATGAGTTCTGGCATAATCCCGCACATTATGCTGCATGTTGTTTGCCATCAAAAAAACAATGCATGTTCAGCTACGTTCTACGCAGTACGCACTAACCTAATCACCATCCCATCATCCACCACTAGCCACTATCCCGTTCTGTGCCCCCTTCCACCCCACACGAATCAGCCGAGATACTAGTCAGTCGGGTTTAGCGCTATCCTATCCTCCCTTCCTGACTGCACAGCGCTTAAACCCAGAGCCGAGACTTCCCGAGCGCGACCTCTGACCCCACGCGGTCCGAAGGGTCGGCCGATGCCTAAGGGCGAGCCGCCCGCCGGCCACCCGGATAGCCTCTGCCGAGTCTCCCTTTCATACACCGTTTACTACGCACTCGATTCATTCATGATTCTGTGTTTCTGCGGTCCTCTCGTTAGATGGCTCTACTGATGTCATAGGCGATCCCAGGCAGGTTGCGGCCAGAATACCCCAAACGGCAGAAAATGAGGTTTTTGGTGAATATCTCGGAAAGTATTTGGCATACAACGATGCAATTTCACAGTCTCGTGGTAAATGTGAATACACATAATTCGGGTTGATGCTTATGCATTTGAACATTATATAGGACCAGATATGTCCGAAAAAGCAAAACCAACAAGACTTTTACTGGAGAGCCGTACCTCTGAAATCCTGATGACCTCTCGTGATTTAAGGTGACCTCTTTTGACATGTGACCTACCCATCCCCCAACTGTCTGCCGAGCTAGTGACATTTGCTAATCTGTGACCTGCCGAAGAGCTTCGGCAGGTCACAGACAGACAGCTCTGTCTGCCGAGCCGGTGACCTCTGCTGACCTGTGACCTCCGGTGACCTCTGATGACATGTGACCTCCCGCAGCTGTCCGCCGAGCCGGTGACCTCGGTCTCGGAGCTGGAGCTGGCTGCGCTCACCTCCATGTGGACGGTGGTCTGCTGCGGTCAGCTGTTTGACCCGGCCGTGGCCGTCGACGACGGAGACATCTACCGGGGACTGGACATACTACTGGCCTGCGCCGATGACAAGGTAGGTCAGATGAGAGCTCGGGTGGAGTTGATTATTGTAGTCAGAACTGAGTGGGCGGTGTTTTGTGTGTTTTTAGCTGCGCGATTGAATATTTGTTGGCTAGTTTTGCGTCTTATATCTGTTAATTGCTTTCATCCTTTTTTCGGCCTTCAATGCGTATCAGCTAAGCATATTTTTTATTTCAAAAATATTGAGATCATCTCTACTTTTGAGTGAATGAGTGCGAAACAGCTTAGAGCTACAGCTCTCTGTCGTCAGCTTTAGTGTACCAAACCATGCTATTCTCTGAAGTATTTATGACTGAGAAGATTTGCCACAATATTGAGGTCACCAAGGAAGTATTATGATTATGCCGTCCAAACATCGTTATTTGCCTAGCTTATCCTGCCAGCAAGCTAAGGGTGCCTTTGAAAGTCTTGGATGCCCTGCTAAGCTATAATAGATTCGCTCCTGTTCGGATTTAGGCGGGCCTAATGGCTACCGTATTTTGTTGGAATTCTATCATATGAGGTGCTTAGGGTCTTGGCATGCATTTCAAGGCAAATAAGTAACTATGTATCCCGTGTTATCTGACTCTCGGTGTGATAGCAGATTCTGCAGCACATTGCGTGCGAGACTTTCAGGTTCAGAACAAGATACCTCCAATGCGAAAGGCTTGCTCCCATGAACATTGTAGATCGTATTCAATACTCATTGGCTATAACATATCTATAATAGATTGATCCTCATAGACCAGCGACAACAAACAAACGTGCTTATTTTCATAGGTAGCATAACTATGTTATATTCCTGGAAAGAATAGTTCCTTTATTTGATGGCCTGTTTATCCCGAAGGATGGAAGATTGCATGTTTGACTTATGTCTTATGCAACCAGTGCATTTGTATTGGTTTCGATGTGCAGCCTTCCGCCCAGATACACGCTACATGTTTCCATTAACCTATTACATCATGTTGACGTACTCCGAGGCAAGGCCCTAAGCTCCGAGGCACATTTCGCCATTGTTCATGGCCTACTACCGTACACATTCAGAATGCATTCGAATGGCGATGCAGCCAATATCCTGGGTACACATGCCAGTCGGGAACCATCATCCATATGATCACAGCTCGATTACAATGAGCGCCATCACCAGATTGGCTATAATCGAATGCGACTCGGCCATCAGTGTGAATGGCTCATGGAAGCTGATTGGGCTGGCAGCGGTCCTGTCGTGACCTGGTCAGACCGCCCGCAGTCGCCGCATAGAAACAGCCCATCACGCCACTGGCTTATGACACTAATTGATTCTGGGGTTCCGCTGACATTTTGAAGCGTTGCAAAAAAATTCACGGATTTTTTTTCTGGGCTTTATACTTTCAAAGAAGTTATTCAGTAATTCAGCCGCCTAACTTTGTGAGTATTGTTCTCGATCGCTGATGAACTGCTCATGCAATACATAACGCAACATAAAATTATATGGTACATATTCAGTGATATGCATCAATCCTTCGCCCTTGCTCCGTCCTATCCGCTGTGGGTGTGCTCGGCCCCGACTCCTGCTCCTCTGACGCTGCCGCTCCCTGGCCCCACCAAGCCTGTGGCAGAGTCCGGCCGGCGCGGTGGGCGGCCCTTCTGGCTGTCCCCGCTCCGGTGCGCGAGGAAAGATTGGGACGGCTCACTGCGTCGGCCGCCCCGTTCCATTTTACGGTGTGACGTCATGTGTGGCTTCGGCTCGATGCTGGTGAACGGCCTTCCTTTTATGGCTGGTACAGAATAATCTGGATCTAGCTGGTTTCAGCTCTCAGGCACGCGTGCATTGTTTGGCATCGTTTAAACTATTTTTAACTTAAGGTGGCCTTATTACTACTCAGGCTGCTGATTGCTGAAGGTGGCGGAATATACATTCCTTTTCGATTGTTGCAATAAATTCTGACCCTTCCGATGGGAGTGATCTATCATCCGGCTGGCGGCTGGCAGCCTACAGCAATCCACATGTCAGATTGTGCTCCAAACAAATGACCCTTATTAGTGTCAAATCTGCCAATCGATGGCAGTTTCAGGAAACATGCCTCTCAAGGAACGGCGGCGTTGTATGTTGACGAAAATTCCGTCTTGATGGGTCATTGTAAACAAAGTTGTCTCAGCCGCGCTCAGTGAGTATGACGGACGCGATTCGCGGAACATTGTGGACGAAACGATCGCTCTCCGCCGGCTGGTCGCATTAGTCACGATCGGATTGTCGTGAAGGCGCCCGACTGCCACCAGCTGCACCCCGGGACCCCGAAACAGTTTACCATCCGTCGCTGGGCCGTGACATCAGGAATTTGTCACACAGGGTGCCTCAGACGGCGGCCAAATGACTCTTTAATGTCTTTGAACCTAGTCAAGGCGGTGGCATGTTCTGATTGAGTGTGGAAGCGTTTGACGCACATTGGACCCTCATTAGTGGCGTGGGTTGATGGTAATATTGCTATCGTCCTAAAATAACCCACGGCAAAGTAATAAACTGAAACTCAACTCAACTACCTACCTGTAGTCATTGGCTGCCGGTAAGGAATGGAAGAAGCCAGCCGTCAGCGCTGGGCAAATGTTTCCGGGTATTCGACATTTGACTTCGATTCAACATTCCACATACTTCCGCGCAAATTGCTTAAGCTGAGAGCACGCTGCTCCTCCACCCCCCCCCACTCGATTTTTAGAATCTTGAAAGCATTCACAGCGCAGATCTTGAAACCTTCAAAACGTTAACACTTGTGCTATAATGGTTGCTGTACTGAAAATTCATATACTTACCCATTCACCTCCATGCTAGACCTTTTTTGATGACAGTGCTTATCAGCGGAGTCAGTTTGTTAAGTGTCCGCCCCGGGGCTGCCGCCGGCTGCGGGCGAACCGGCCGACGGCGGTGACCGCGTGGGGTCCTTGATTGAGAACAGACAGGACACTGTGGTGTGGGGCTGTGACATTAGACCGGGGGACTGCTGAGAGGGGGGGGGTAAGGGCAGAGTGGTGTGGAGTCTCTGACCTGATGCACACCCCTGACGGCCGGCAAATTTAATGGTTTGTTTTGCCGATGTTTTGAAAGATATATCGTTTTGATACTGCCAAACCTGAGCTTAAGTATGCTGTCTGAATTGCAAATATTGAAATGAACCCTTCGCTTTGATGTATTGCATTCCATATCTTTGTATGCATTCGTTCGCGTCTTTACGGTTTATATATTTTGTTTACCATTTCATCATGTTGCGAAAAAAATATTTTCCTGAAGCTGCTCAAGCGTAACTGATTTCAATCCATGTTGCTGTGTCTTTGAACTAAGTAGGGACCACTGGCGAAGTTATTAAATACATTGATTTATAACTCAGCCTAGTAACGCCATCAAAAGGTGAAAATTTGCAGCGTTTTTCGATCGTGCGCTTACCAAAGATTTCAACTGAGCCCCCAGACATGAGTCCCATCCTGCCTGGTGCCGTCCCGTCCCGTCTCATTCCATCGCACCCCGTCGCTCCATCACATCCTGTCCCATCCTGTCGGTATGTCACAGGACAAACGGACCAGCGGGAATGTCCCACATCTATCGACCACACTCAGTACCTCCGCACAATCCCGACCAGCCCCTTCTCCTCACGCTCCCCCAGGTGCAGCAGCTGGCGCGTGAGACGCTGGTGCTGCTGCTCGAGTTCAACCCGGACATCTCGGCGCTGCTCGACTGGACGGTGGAGCGGTGCTACACGGGCTCGGCCCAGGTCAGCGACTGCTGCTTCCTCGCCATCGCCACCGTCTTCAGCGCAAAGTGAGTCGGACGAACGGGGGAGGAGGGAGAGGGAAAGACGGGATGAAGGGAAGGTCGATAGGCGGTAGGATGGGGATGCAGTTTGGTGGTTTGGTGGTCTAATTCTAACTGGCCCACTATTGCGGTAAATCGGGCTACCACCGGTTGCTAGGGCATTCACGCTTAACTCCGCTTGAATAGCTAGTTGCCTCTCTCTGACTCCAGCTTGGTATTCCTGCGATGTATTTCAACAATAAGATCGCTTTGCTATTTACGCCATTGCCTATTCATATTCGAGGATGGAAACAATCACAAACAATCCTATGTATTTAACTTGAATTTATTTTAAAGAAAATATCAGGCTTTCGTAATTGTTGCACAATCCCATGGTGCATCACCTTTCGAGTGCTTTTGTTTTTCACCCCTCCAATTTCCGTCTGCCTCATTCCTGGTAAATTCTGGAAAATGAACGCGCCGGTTGCCAGGGCGAAAAGAAGCTTCATTAGTGATATGACGATGTAGGGGTCGAATCGCTGTCATTAATTTCGTAACTGGGGGACCTTTCCATTTCGGTGTGTGGGATATTGTCGCAATAGTTTTACCCAATATCAGTGATAGGGATCTCCGAGAGATTGGATTCTGCCTGCATTGGTAATGAAACGGGAAGTCGAACGGAAAATTGCGTGTCTCTGCTACGGAGCAGGATAGACAATTTCAAAGAAATCGATATCAGTAAGCTTCACCGCGATCAGTTTGCTGTTGATTGCTCGCTTGATGCTTTGGTGGGAAGCTAAACGTTTGCGACGCTTGGCAGTGGAAAAGTTTTGTTTCGTTTCCTGTTTTCAGTTAATTTGACATTATATTAATTCAGCTGATCCTCTTTAAGTTGAGTGATTACTATGTAGTTCTATTTTTTCAACCATGGGACTGTTTATCTACTATACTATTTGTAGAATGAAACTCTGTGTGTCTGTCCGTCTGTTTGCACCGTGCAGAGGGGTGCTTTGACGCCGTGCGCAGGTCAAACGGTGCGGTCGATGGGGCTGAAATTTTCGCAGCGTGTTGATGACGTCACGCGCACGTGCAGTGTCGAGGTTCGAGTCCCGGGGGTGGATGGTTCGCACGTGGCACGCCCTGGAAAAAGGTGCATTTTCTCCAAATTTTGCTCGGATCTCAAGGCATCGGCAGCCGGGTTCAATGGACTTTGCAACTAAAATGCATGGCAAGCGGCGGCGGGTGCCTCTCATTTGCGGATTGACAGCTTATTTATTTTGATAACCAGAGGCGAATGAAGGTGTTGATTTTCGATAAACAAAGACAGTTCTTAATACGCTTACACAAATGCACCGCGTTTGCCGAAATGCGCCACATTTGTCTAAAGGCCCCATTTTTGCCGCAAATTTCACAGCTTTGTCAAATATTGTCCGATAAAGGTGCAATTCGGTGGAAGGATGCATGGCAAAACGACAATTACAAATGCACCACTTTTGTCGCAATGCGCCACATTTGTCACAAGGCGCCATTCCCATCAAATACGATTAAGAATAATGGAATGACACGAATAGGAGCAGGGTTAGGAACTCTTTTTTTAGTTCATCAGTTTACCTTATAGCCTGTGACTTCACATGACCCAGTGGTAGTGGAAGGTGTAGTGGTAGTGGTAGTGGTAGTAGTAGTGGTAGGGGTAGTAGTAGGGGTAGTAGTAGGGTAGTGGTAGGTGTAGTGGTAGTGGTAGGGGTAGAAGTAGGGGTAGTGGTAGTGGTAGTAGTAGGGTAGTGGTAGGGGTAGTGGTAGTGGTAGGTGTAGTGGTAGTGGTAGGGGTAGTAGTAGTGGTAGGGGTAGAAGTAGTGGTAGGGGTAGAAGTAGGGGTAGTGGTAGGGGTAGAAGTAGGGGTAGTGGTAGGGGTAGTAGTAGGGCAGTGGTAGGGGTAGTGGTAGGGCAGTGGTAGGGTAGTGGTAGGGTAGTGGTAGGGTAGTGGTAGGGTAGTGGTAGGGGTAGTGGTAGTGGTAGTAGTAGTGGTTGAGGTAGAAGTAGGGGTAGTGGTAGGGGTAGGGGTAGTGGTAGGGGTAGTGGTAGGGGTAGTGGTAGAGGTAGTGGTAGGGGTAGTGGTAGGAATAGTGGTAGGGGTAGTGGTAGAGGTAGGGTAGTGGTAGAGGTAGGGTAGTGGTAGGAGTAGTGGTATGGGTAGAAGTAGTAGAAGTGTGGTACAGGCCGATCCAATGTGACGTGGTGACCTATACGACCTGGCCTGACCGAAGGTGACCTGGCCTGACCCAGTGTGACCAGGGATGACCATCTTGACCTGACTTGACCCCGTATGACCTAAAGTTCATCCACCTAAGCCCTCAGAATAGTTATTACATATGTTCAAAATTTTCCTCTGCACGTTTCCGTCCACAGCTCTGCTTCCAGACGACAGAACAAATTAAATCAAACACCATTCGGAAGCAAATTGGCTGCTCCCGCATTTTCTGGCTACGCCGCGAAGCAAGTGGCGCAGCCGCTTGTCTACTATACTATTTGTGAAATGAAACTCTGTCTGTGTGTCTGTTTGCACCGTGCAGAGGGGTGCTTTGACGCCGTGCACAGGTCAAACGGTGCGGTCGATGAGGCTGAAATTTTCGCAGGGTGTTGATGACGTCACGCGCACGTGCAGTGTCGAGGTTCGAGTCCCGGGGGGTGGATGGTTCGCACGTGGCACGCGCTGGAAAAAGGTGCTTTTTCTCCAAATTTTGCTCGGCTCTCAAGCTTGCTTCAAGGCATCGGCAGCCGGGTTCAATCGCCTTTGACAATAAAATGCATGACGATCGGCGGCGGGTGCCTCTCATTTGCAGATTGGCAGCTTATTTATTTTGCTAAACAGAGGTGAATAAAGGTGTTGATTTTCGGTAAATAAAGACAGTTTTCAATGCGCTTACACAAATGCACCGCGTTTGCCGTAGTGCGCCACATTTGTCACGAGGTGCCATTTTTGCCGCAAATCGCACAACTTTGTCAAATATGGTCCGATAAACGTGCAATTCGGTGGAAGGATGCATGACAAAAGGACAGTTACAAATGCACCACTTTTGTCGCAATGCGCCACATTTATCACATGGCGCCATTTCTATCAAATACGATTAAGAATAATGGAATGACACGAGTAGGAACAGGGTTAGGAACTCTTTTTTTTTTAGTTTATCAGTTTATCTGATAGTCTGTGACCTCACATGACCCAGTGGTAGTGGTAGATGTAGTGGTAGTAGTATATGTAGGGGTAGTGGTAGTATTAGGGGTAGTGGTAGGGGTAGTGTTAGGGGTAGTAGTAGGGGTAGTGGTAGGGGTAGTGGTAGGGGTAGTAGTAGAGGTAGTAGTAGGGGTAGTAGTAGGGGTAGTGGTAGGGGTAGTAGTAGTGGTAGGGGTAGTGGTAAGGGGTAGTGGTAGGGGTAGTGGTAGGGGTAGGGGTAGTGGTAGGGGTAGGTGTAGTGGTAGGGGTAGGCGTAGTGGTAGGGGTAGTGGTACGGGTAGGGGTAGGGGTAGGGGTAGTGGTAGAGGTAGTGGTAGGAGTTGTAGTAGTGGTAGTGGTAGGGGTAGTGGTAGAGGCAGTGGTAGGAGTAGTGGTAGTGGTAGGGGTAGGGGTAGAAGTAGTAGAAGTGTGGGACAGGCCGATCCAATGTGACGTGGTGACCTATACGACCTGGCCTGACCGAAGATGACCTGGCCTGACCAAGTGTGACCAGGGATGACCCACTTGACCTGACTTGATCCCGTATGACCCAAATTTCATCCAACTAAGTTATTATGTTCAAAGTTTTCCTCTGCACGTTTCCGTCCATATCTCTGCTTCCTGACGACAGATCAATTTAAATCAAACACCGTTCGAAAGCAAATTGGCTGCTGCCGCATTATATGGGTAGGTACGCCGCGAAGCAAGTGGCGCAGCCGCTTGTCTACTATACTATTTGTAGAATGAAACTCTGTCTGTCTGTGTGTTTGCACCGTGCAGAGGGGTGCTTTGACGCCGTGTGCAGGTCAAACGGTGCGGTCGATTGGGCTGAAATTTTCGCACAGTGTTGATGACGTCACAAGCACGTGCAGTGTCGAGGTTCGAGTCCCGGGGGGTGGATGGGTCGCACGTGGCACGCCCTGGAAAAAGATGCTTTTTCTCCAAATTTTGCTCGGCTTTCAAGCTTGCTTCAAGGCATCGGCAGCCGGGTTCAATGGACTTTGCAACTAAAATGCATGACGATCGGCGGCGGGTGCCTCTCATTTGCGGATTGCAGCTTATTTATTTTGCTAAACAGAGACGAATGAAGGTGTTGAATTTCGGAAAATAAAGACAGTTTTCAATGCGCTTACACAAATGCACCCCGTTTGCCGTAGTGCGCCACATTTGTCACGAGGTGCCATTTTTGCCGCAAACGCACAACTTTGTCAAATATGGTCCGATAAACGTGCAATTCGGTGGAAGGTTGCATGACAAAACGACAAGTACAAATGCACCACTTTTGTCGCAATGCGCCACATTTGTCACAAAGCGACATTTCCACCAAATATGATTAAGAATAATAGAGTTTAGTTTGCTATTTATCTGTTTTTTTTTTAGTTCCCACTTATTGGATTCAATTAGTCTGTGACCTCACATGACCCAGTAGTAGTGGTAGTAATAGTGGTAGGGGAAGTAGTGGGTGTAGTGGTAGTGATAGTGGTAGGAGCAGTGGTAGTAGTAGGGGTAGGAGTAGTGGTAGTAGTAGTAGGGGTAGGGGTAGTGGTAGGGGTAGTGGTAGTGGTAGGGGTAGGAGTAGGGGTGGTGGTAGGGGTAGTGGTAGAGGTAGTGGTAGATGTATTGGTAAGGGTAGTGGTAGGTTTAAAGGTAGGGGTAGTAGTAGTGGTAGGGGTAGTAGTAGGGGTAGTGGTAGGGGTAGGGGTAGGGATAGTGTTTTGAGTAGTTGTATGGGTAGAAGTAGTAAAAGTGTGGTACAGGCCGATCCAATGTGACGAGGTGACCTATCCGACCTGGCCTGACCGAAAGTGACCAGGAATGACCAACTTGACCTGACGTGACCCCGTAGGACATAGCAGATGTTCAACAATTTCCTCTGCACGTTTCCGTCCATATCTCTGCTTCCACACGACCGATCGATTTAAATCAAACACCATTCGAAAGCAAATTGGCTGGTGCCGCATTTTCTGGCTACGCCGCGAAGCAAGTGGCGCAGCCGCTTGTCTACTATACTATTTGTGAAATGAAACTCTGTCTGTCTGTTTGCACCGTGCAGAGGGGTGCTTTGACGCCGTGCACAGGTCAAACGGTGCGGTCGATTGGGCTGAAATTTGCACACGATGTTGATGACGTCACGGGCACGTGCAGTGTCGGGTTTCGAGTCCCGGGGGTGGATGGTTCGCACGTGGCACGCCCTGGAAAAAGGCGTATTTCCTCACAAATTTGCTCGGTCTTCAAGGCATCGGCAGCCGGGTTCGATGAGCTTTGCAACTAAAATGCATGGCAAGCGGCGGCGGGTGCCTCTCATTTGCGGATTGACATCTTATTTATTTTGATAAACAGATGCGAATGAAGTTGTTGATTTTCGGTAAATAAAGACAGTTTCAATGCGCTTAACCGAATGCACCGCGTTTGCCGCAACGCGCCACATTTGTCACGATGTGCCATTTTTGTCGCAAATCGCACAACTTTGTCAAATATGGTCCGACAAACGTGCAATTCGGTGGAAGGATGCATGACAAAACGACAATTAAAAATGCACCAATTTTGTCGTAATGCGCCACATTTGTCACAAAGCGACATTTCCACCAAATATGATCAAGAATAGTGGAGCGACAAGATTAGGAGCAAGGCTAGGAACACTTTTTAGTTTATCAGTTTATCTGATAGTCTGTGACCTCAGATGACCCAGTGGTAGTGGTAGGTGTAGTGGTAGTAGTATTGGTAGGAGTAGCGGTAGGGGTAGTGGTAGTATTAGGGGTAAGGGTAGTGGTAGGGGTAGTGTTAGGGGTAGTAGTAGGGGTAGTGGTAGGGGTAGTGGTAGGGGTAGTAGTAGGGTAGTGGTAGTAGTAGGGGTAGGGGTAGTGGTAGGGGTAGTGTTGGGAGTAGTGGTAGGGGTAGTGGTAGGAGTAGTGGTAGGGGGTAGTGGTAGTGGTAGGGGTAGTGGTAGGGGTAGTGGAAGGGGTAGTGGTAGGAGTAGTGGTATGGGTAGAATTAGTAGAAGTGTGGCACAGGCCGATCCAATGTGACGTGGTGACCTATACGACCTGGCCTGACCGAAGGTGACCTGGCCTGACCCAGTGTGACCAGGGATGACAGACTTGACCTGACTTGACCCCGTATGACCCAAATTTTATCAAACTAAGCCATCAGAATATTCATTTATATATCTGCTTCCAGACGGCTCATCGGTATGAATTCAAAAGCAAACTGGCTGCTGCGTCTTTTATGGCTACGCCGCGAAGCAAGTGGCGCAGCCGCTTGTCTATATTACTATTTGTGGTGACGTAGTTTCTGTCTGTTACCGAGGTCGCGACATGGTGCTACGTAGCGCGGGTTACAGGTCACACCGTCGCACCTGGCGCGCTGAAATTTGCGCAACTCATAGAACAAGGATGGACAACGTGCCTTTGAGGGGTCTCAGCCCGATCGGATCGATAGCGAGCGCGTGGCGCGTGTCCGATAAGTGCAAATTCGCGTCATAGACTTTACATGTATAAATCGGCTGGCAAAAACGGGCGAAAATGGCTAAATTTGCCCGACACGGGTCCGGTCCCCGTGCAATATCTCGGTAACCGTGGGTCCGATCGGCACGGGGAAAAAAGCATCGTGTAGAGAATCGAACGGGCTATCGAATGGTGTGCGGTGCAGGGGATGGCAAGTGCAACCGTGAGGGCGCTTTTGATTGAAAAATTGATGTTTCGGACGGATTTTGGATTTTATCTTATTTTTACGTGACCGTCAGACTGAGAGAGCTAAAACAATGCCTATTGGCAAGGGAAATGTACCGCCTCTCATAAAAAAAAATTGTGAAAAGCTATTTATCAAAAATAAGATGGAACAAATTGCTGAAGAAAATGGCATTTGTCCGTAATGTGCCACTAAATAATTACACGGGATTTGCTGCTTAACCTGATACGCTTGACAATTGAAAATGCTATCATTAGAAAGAGCACTCAATTTCCTCCAAGATCCAATCATCACGTTTGCATGACAAGCAACAGTATTCTTAAAAATATAAATGTTTCGAGCCTCTGCAAAACGATCTTTAGCGAAAATTATCTACGCCTTTCATTTGTCATAAAACTACGCACCTAAATTATAAAACACATTTGACAGATTCTGAAGTGGAAAGCATGCTTATCAGACACGGCCACCTCGATGCGGTGGATATTTTTTCCAAACCAAAACGTTTAGCCGTCAAAAAGCAATCGACCGAAATGGATAGATAACCCAACCGACGCAAGAACAACCAAACACGCGCCGATCGAAAATACCCCTTTTCGCGTTGCGAAGCACGCGGGTCACCCTAGTCTCCTGCTATAGTTCGTTTTTTTTTTTTAAAGTTCGACCCTCACTGTAAACGTCTCTTTGAACACAGCACGAGAATTGGTAGCTGAATTACTGAGAAATCTCGTTGGCTTACAATGATTTCGCAGACGATCAATTATTGATCAATTGTAACAACATTATTTCTATCTGGCTCCTTTTCCCAGACTCGCTGCTCGGTATTTACAACCCCACAAGGATCGAGGGCTTGCAAGGAAGTATAACTGAACTAATTAATATATCGCACGCCGTTTAACGTAACAGTATATAATCGGTGTTAGACACTTATTTTGAAAATATTAGTTCATATCTCCAACGCAAAGTGCGCTAACCAGTTTTCTCAGTAGTTCAGCTAGCATTTCTCGTGCTGTTTCCAAAAAGATGTTTACAGTGAGGGTCGAACTTAAAAAAACGAACTATACTTTAACAGTGGATGAAATCTCCTTCTCGTTTTGTTTTGTTTGATTCTAAGACACCGCCTGCCGGCTAATTTTGTGATACTGAAACTCGGACAACAATGCAATGGTGGCCTTGGCCACCTGACCTTGGTGACCCGTTGCACCGGTATCGAAGGACTGACTTGCGTAGCTTTTGTAACGTCGCCTGTGTCGCAAGCAAAGCAAGGGCAATTAGCGATTCGGTGACGTTCACTGTGTATTGTAATAATCCGGCCTCGCCAAGGGTTGGTGTTTTTGTGCTGCTAGCAGGAGTCAACGAATGATAATGATTAATTACGCGATGTTTTGTATTCTTCCAAACATGCAGCCAGCTGGGGCCGAAAATAGTCGGCAGAAGGCAGTGCGGTGGCTGTTGTTTGCCAAAGCCGGCTGTGTGTGGAACCGCCGCGAACGTTGGGTCTATTTGTGCGCCGTTTCTGGCTTACTTGTGCGTCATATTGTTCGCCAATGGCGCCGACCGCCGCTGGCTCCATGCCAATTGCGTTGGTGCACTGTAACAGGAAAAAATGAGCAACGCCTTTTTCTTGCGGGAGGAGGATTGAGAGGGCATCTTGCTGTTGACTAAGCCCTCTAGTAGAGGGCTTAGTCTTAGTAGAGGGCTTAGTAAATGAAGTAAATGAAGTAAATGAAGTAGAGGGCCTCTACTTCATTTACTTCATTTACTTTATCTCTACTCTTTTTTCGCTTTCCTCGTTTTTAAATTATGTACTCGTATTGCTTAAAGCGATAAGAATGTCATCACCAAACTAGGGCTACCTCTCGCATCCGTTTTACAGATGCATAGAATTTAAAATCCACGTTCAGTTGTACGGCTTCTAGCCCACTATAGTCCATCTTTATCCAGCATGTCACGTTGACACAGTTGCGGCCTACCGATTCCGGCACGTGAGCACCTGATTAGCACCCTGAGAGGGTCGGCCCACCGGGGAAATCGGGTGGCTCTGTGTTCGGCAGGCCTGTCGGTTTGTCAACGTCTCGGCAAAGGGCCGTGACCAGCCTTCCCGGCAGGCTTAATAATTCTCTCGATTGCTTCGCTCTTGCTCCCTGTCATGCCCCCCCCCCTCTCTCTCTCTCTCTCTCTCTCTCTCCTTTCTATCCTCTTTATTAGCACGGTCTTCTATTTCATCTTTCCCACACTTTCATCTGCCCAACGTCTCCGCTTCATCACCCATCGCACAGTGTCCTAACCCACCGGCTCTTACGTAGTCTGTTTTCGTCTTCTTTTCGTGTGCCGACACTTTCGTGACACATCTCCTTCTCTTCCATCTCCTTCCGTCACCTCGTGTGTGCTCCCTTCTCCACACAGTCCGGTGCACAATGGCCATTGTCGCGCTACCTCGAGGGATAAGGACCCGTCACCTCTCTGCCAGCGACCAGCGTGGAGTTCCCATAGGGAGGGGGATACCCATGTCAGCACTCACTCAGGTGGCTTTGCTCCGTACCCAGGGAGCGTCGGTTCTAACTAACCATAACTAGAAATTTCCTCAGGAGGTAATTTCTCCTTCTTGCCTTCTCTTATTACCTTCTCTCTACTTCTGACGGCACATGGTGGTTCCTTCCAGAGGTACCGGTACGATACATCATACATGACGGTACATACCTGCCAGAAGTACCAGTATCAGTGTCATGTCAGAGTTTTGCTATCCGTGATGCCTCAAAAATCATTGCTTTTTTATCCCCAAGCACCCAAGCAGTGCCAGACGCCCTATCCTTTCCTTTCCTTTCCCATGGAGTGGCGGTGTAGCCTGACTGACTTATTCCCCGTTCCTCAGGGAGTACCCGTGCGACCACTACACGGCAGTCATCAACGTCACGCTGCTGAACACGGGCTGTCCTCGGGCCGAGATCCACCAGACGGCTCTGCAGCTTCTGCAACTGCTGGACAAACGGTTCTTCGGGCGGGACGGACGGCACCTGGCTACAGAGAACGAGACAGGTCAGTCAAAGAACGGGTGTAGTGAGCGGGAGATGTGAGGGTGAGAGGTGAGGGGAGCGTTGCATTTTGAAGGGGCTATTACTTTTACAGGCGAGTGGATTTTTTGGTGCCAAGTTGTTACGAGCCACGGGGCAGCGTTTGAAAGTCGACAGCTCTCCTAGAAAGACCAAACCGTAAACATAGATATATCATTTTTTAGCATGTGTTTTAGTTATGCAACTGATTTTCTTGAAGATAAGTTGAGAGTCACAGCTGGGCATCACAAAACCTTAATATCTCGAAACCTATATTTCGAGCCGTTTCGGTGGCCGCCGAGATAGCCACTGCGGTGGCGGTGGCGGCTTTCAGACAGCGGCAGACGCCTGGCTACATCGCGCCCACTCTCCACTGAATCCATGTGCTCTGTCACTGTCAGAAGCAATGCCGACACGGCACAGCGGTGTCCACATCCAACCCTCGCCGGTCAATGACCCCGCACCGCCTGGGGCTCTGAGGCTACATGTGGGACCGTGTGCCTGTCTGACTCCACTGACATCCACTATACGGTTGAGCCTTGAGGGTTGGGAATGTATGCTGGCTAGTAGGACTTCATCGTATCTTTATCCTCTTCCGACATTAAGCGCCTAAAATAGTGACGCGTATTCAGCCGCGGTGCTAGCCTGTCGGATGGCACAGAAATCCGCCTTATCCTCTGCGAGCGTATATGGATTTGCTTGCTTGCTTGCTTGCTTGCTTGCTTGCTTCGATTTCTTTTCCCTCACTAATTATCTTCCTTCCTTTTTCCGCCGAGTACGGCTATGACGTCAGGCGGTCGTCGTCGGGGCTTGCGGCAATACTATGCCCGTTTCACGGAAGTAATCCCATAGATCACGGTGCGTCACGGTGGGACGAACGGCGGCCGGCGGCGCGACATTTGCGACACTTTCTGATTACTGGCGGGGAGTCGTGGCATTTCTCCGAGGCTCGTCCGAGGGAGGTGACGCACGCATGTGTTGATATTGCTGGAGTTCGGCGCTAGTTGGCTGTGGTGGTTTCCTGTACGCTGAGATTTTCGCTGCCTGATTAGCTACTTTGACCTTACGGGTATGACCCTTTCTTTCTAGCGTTTGTTAGGAGATGCTCAGTCGCTGGGGACTTGTCTTAATTCCGATGTTTGGTTGAACTCGGGCGAAACTCTTGATTATGCTAATTACGCACTGAACATTGCGCGCTCTTGCCGCTCAAAGAAGTACATATAAGCCTGGGATTGAACTCCCGGAGGATTCCGGAGGCATAGTTCAAGATGTTTTCTCTTTGCGAATGCGATGCCCGCTACACACTTCGCGTCCCCTTGCCTTTTTGCAAAATTTGCCTTTCGCACTGATTGGGCATTCAGATTTACATGCACATTAGCCTTGTGAAGATAGCGATGTCGAATAACTTTCCCCCAATGGGTAGATCGTCTTTTCAATATGCACAACTTTGTAAAAGCCACATATCCAAGGATTTTCTTCTCGTGACTACCTGGGACCGATGTAGTCCGAGCGGCTTCTCAATCATAAATGTTTACTTCAAAGTGCATCTGTGCCTCTCATATTGTAGGGCTCTTGTCGTCATCATGTTGCGTCCAAGTGCAGTCAGGCGTCTCATACCGTCGACAAGAAGTATCGTTCGCGTCATCCAAGTATGATAGACGACAGGCTCCATATCACCGGTTTGGATTGCAGCGAACTCATTCAAGATCCTTCGTTTTCGATACCGCTGTTTGTCACACCTTCAGTAAGCTTTCTTCACGTCACAATATTCAAGTGCGAATTATGAAATAAATGACAAATGGCTTTGACGTCAATGTACTGTATTTTTATGGTGCTCGGCCAGGCAAAACTATCCATTTTTTGCTTGTCTCGAATGCTGACGATGTGGATGATTACGGAGCGAGCGAAGCGAGCGTAGTCTTTCCTTAGATTAACGGAAATTTCTGAGTATGAGCGGCCGGCCGGCCGGCCGTGGTCACGCTTTTGGGAGGCTTATATCTCAGCAACCACTTGACCGATTTACACGCGGTAATTTTTGTAGGGTAGCTTCATTCCTTCTACCAAGTATTGGACTATTCCTGATGCATGTGGGTGACCCCTTATGCACGTGCCACGTGCAAAACGAAGAGGTGTCCGTTTTGTAATTGTTGCAATATCTCGGTAACTACTTGGCCGATTGCGCTGAAAGTTGGCATGTAGGTAGGCACCCACTAGGCACTGCATATCCATGTGCCACAGTTGGGGTGCTGCTGCACGTGCGCACGTGCAGGGGTCGTTTCCAGATCTCGAGAACGGCTCGACCGATTGCGCTCAAATTTGGTACACAGTTAGGGACCAGTTAGTAGGGTGCCGTGCACAAGTCAGTTGGGACCCATTTTGCACGTGCGCACGTGCAGGGTGCCGCTTCCAGATCTCGAGAACGGCTGGGCCAATTGTGCCCAAATTTGGCACATCGCTAGAGACCGGTTAGTAAGGTGCCGTGCACAAGTCAGTTGGAGGTACCCCCTCGCAATTTCGCACGTGCAAGGCCCACCCTCTCGCTCGCTCCGTTAATCGCCCCAAAAGGCGTTATACTGGTAAATACCTACCGAAAAGAGATAGGTCTTCTCATGTGACACCATCACATTATTCGTTATCCGCCCACAGCGTAATATCAAAGCACCTACACAGCTGATAACCGTCAGTTTCATTATTTAAGATGTGGTCTGGCTTATGATGGCGCCATTCGACGCCCTCTGATGATAGAACCTTCTAATGCGTTTTTCTCATCTCCCGCACGAATGCCAAGTTAATTTTGTGAGCAATGCGCAACATGCATTCCTTAGAATCACGGAGCATCCTGGATGTTTTGTGTTTGTTCAATGTTATCCTCAGTAGCATTGTCCTTGTTCCCGAAATATTGCCTCATCTGGCTGGTGTTTGAAGCAGTCCATTGTCAAATGCCGTCCTATTCAGAGAGGCAATCGGAAGTGGCTCGTAGTGGGCCGTCGTATCTGAATATGCACGCTGACTTAAGGGCATCCGGCTGAGTCGCTGTCTGGCTGTATGCTCCTCCGCTGTTCGCTATTTGGCTGAGAGTATTTTTTAGTTCTCAGAGTAATAGGCGAAGCCCGGATTATAGGACATGATTTATGCTGGTGTGACGATGTGGACGATATGCCGCTGAGAGTTCCGATTGAAGGCGAGCTAGACGTTAAGCTTTGGGAGGGCAATCCCGTGTTTTTGGGATCTCTGGCACACCGCGGATGATGGACAGCGATGGAGGTCTTGTTTTATCATCCAGCTTATACAGCTAGACAGCAGCAGCACAGAGTGACCACCGAAAAAGGTCGCGTACCGACGGACCTGGAGCCAGTGATGCTGCGCGTGCGACTTCAGCCAGTCGCACCACGGGTGTCAAGCAGAGCTTCTGATTGATCAAGGATATGTCATTTGCAGACCCCAGTATTGAAAACACGTGCCGTAGGCCTCTAACTTTTTAAATCTCAGTCGCCACACTTTTTATTAAAGAACAGAAACGTGCTCCCTAAACGCGTCACATAACTTTTGTATCCCTGCGGAGCGTCCGTCAATTCTGTATCGCTCTCTCGTTCCCATTGGCTCCCGCTCGGCTTCTATTGACTCCCGCCAGCTCCACTCGGCTCCCGCTCGGCTTCTATTGACTCCCGCCAGCTCCACTCGGCTCCCGCTCGTCTTCTATTGACTCCCGCCAGCTCCACTCGGCTCCCGCTCGGCTTCTATTGACTCCCGCCAGCTCCACTCGGCTCCCGCTCGTCTTCTATTGACTCCCGCCAGCTCCACTCGGCTCCCGCTCGGCTTCTATTGACTCCCGCCAGCTCCACTCGGCTCCCGCTCGGCTTCTATTGACTCCCGCCAGCTCCCATCGGCTCCCGTTCGGCTCCCGCCGTTCGCCGGCCGTCCCAGAACACTCGGACCGGACTGTTCTGTTCCGCAAACACGCCGCCCCGCCGCCGCCGCTGGCTACGATATTGGATTGGCCCGGCAATATGGTGATGCCCCGGGTGCTCTCGGCCCGCTCCCGAAGTGGCTCGCACGGGGGTCGTAGTGTCCATCCGTCTGAACGGCCACCTCCCGCCGTGTGAAAGTCGCCGATCGATGTTATTTCTGCGACGGTCACGCTACAGTTTCTGGGAAAGTATGATTTTTTATTGCGTGGATGTCAGCGACAGGGACTTTGCCATTGCGGCATGCTATTGTGGTTTCCATTGATGTGCACTGTGCTCACTTTTCTGCGTCTTTCTCACTAATGGCCCTTAAATCGATACTGGTGTCGGCTTTTCCGTACAGGGCGTCTTTGAGATGTCCCGAGCCTTGTGTTAGAAACGATGTCACCTCAAAGAGCTGCCTGTCGGGTGTCACACCAAAGCCTCGTTTAACGTCATGAAATTGGTGGCCCCTTCTTCGCGAGTTTCAGAATGGTGTTTGGGTTCAACTGTTTGGCTGGCTCGAAAATCAATAACAGCGCGCTTTTGACGTGTTTACATCGGAAGCTTTTCGTTAAACAATAAACATCTCTTATTTTCTAGATGCTGATTTGTTACATACTGGCAGGCATGGGAATTATGCTGATTTTAGCTTAGTCAATTCGATTAGTTTTTTTATTCCTTTTACCACATGCCGAGATATCCCTTTAACATTAGCACGTGCATTTGGGAAATGGCTTCGGCCCGCCTCGGCTAATGTTGAAGGTATTTGGGAAACGATTCGGCCCTAGGGCTTTTTGATTTTCCCAGACAAAGTTTTACTGAATATTCTGAGCGGAAGAACTAATTTCAAAGAAGATATTTACGGATTGTGTGTTCACTAACAGCAACAGCAAAAGCAAGTGACTGCGTGTTTACATACTTTTGCTGTCAACGTAATTCAACTAAACAAGGTTATCGTTCCAATGCCAATGTATTTATTGCTGCAGAACATGGTCGGAATAATCAATTTTTCTACATAATGCACGCAAAAAACGAACAA